AAGAGCCTATGTATATTAAGCTCCCTGCTGCAACACATCCCTTTCCTCTCTGTGGAGGGCCAGGAACTCTATAACCACTCCACATCTTCTATTCAAGGCACAGTCCAATGACTCAGCCCTTTTCAGCCTCCTGCCACTGGTTCTCCAGCTCAGGAGAGTAAGCAAACTAGCCCCTTCGCTGGTCTCTTAGCCCTTTTCAGCTTCCTGGCAGTGCCTGTCTAGCTCAGGAAGGTCAGCAGGCTAACCCCTTTCCTGGCTGACTCTCAGGAAGATGTCACCTGCTCTTTCAATCTGTTCTCACCTGCCTCTTCCTGCCAGCCCTTTATATGGCCCAGGTGCCTTCTTTTAACCCCAATTGGGAGGCAGCTAATCAGTCACATGTGCACTAGACCCTGCTCCCTCTTACATGGCTGCAGACCATGAAGTTGTGCTGGATGGAGATGGGAAGCAAATGGGGGCCCACTTCCCCTGTGTGTTGGGTGGGGGGAGGGAATGCTATGACTGGCTAGCAGAAGCATGTGTCCCTGTTATCCCCCTTTCTCATTCCTGGCAAGAGCAGCCTGACTCCCCTGCCCAGGAACTAGAGCAAGGACTGCCATGCTGTACGTTCAAAATCTATTTTACATCTTTTTTCAGAAGTCTCATCCCACTGTCTCCACTGCATGGTTACTGTGCCTGCCTCGTCGTGCTGGGGCCCTTACCCCATCAGACAGATTAGCATTAACTACAAAAATCTTGCAGCTCAGTCATATTACATTACTTCAGAGTGACTCACAGCAGTCAGACAGTATTTGATAAACCAACTGGTGAGTTTCCTTTAGTAATTGAAGGTCTAGCCTAACAAAGTATTGGGCAAATTTAATTCCTGGTGTAACTCCACTGAAGTTTGCAGTTACTTTGGGGTGGTGTGAATTTGACCCATTAGTTTTAGTCCTGCTCCCACTGGGCTCAATGGCAATTTTACCATTGACTTTAATGGGAGTAGAATCAGGCCCATCATTTTAGGAGCTTTATGCACAAATATATCAAAGTGGCTTATTAATTGATTATAGCTTGAGCTCCTATCTGCCATTTCCCTGACAAGTTTAACTGGCTTTAGAAATGATCAGTTCTTGAAGCATGCTCCCTTCGTGATGTCTTTTTAGACCAGATTCATTTCTTGGTTTATAATTTCTGTTTGATTTAAAAATAATTCTGGCATGTTTGCTGTTATAACATGAGTTTGGGTAAGAGATAACCATCTGGTTTCCAAAGCACACTGTACTTTTCAGCACAAATGTTGTATAGGATGGGCAGTGATAGAGGATTAGATTATGCTTCTGTTTTGCCCAATATTTTCCCTCACACAACATAGCGAAAAGAAGCAAGAATCTATTTTAGTGTGTTCAGAACTCATCTCAGAGAGCTGAACTCCATGGGCATAACAAAAATATGATGTATCAAACTTAACAACAAAAAATCCCAGTGCACATTTGCTTGGAGAAGCCCATGAACAGAAAAACCAATACAAGATAAAATATGAGTGCTTTAATTAAACAAAACTTCCTGTTTTATTTATGCATCATCCTAACAAGTAAAACATACAGTAAGGCAACCATTTTTTCCTGCAGTTCCTCATCCCCTTATATATTATTAAATCCAGACTTAAACTCTGGTTCCAAAGCCAGAAGAATTTTTAGAACAAACCTCTGAGATTTATTTCCCTATATCTGTTTCTAATTTCATTAACTAGTCCAAACTCTAAGTAGCCTCATGGTGAGAAACAATGATTAGAGCAGTCTTGTTTTAAGGCATTCCACCAGTCATGTCAGTGTGTTATAAATTTCCAGTTTTATTTTGTATCATATGCACAAACCCTTCATTTTACCTTTTACATAAAAAAGACTTCATGAAACAAGACAAAATAACTTATGATCATATGAAACATAACTGTAACAAATCACAAAACTATACATATTAATAAAAAAAAAGTAGAGCTAATTCTTTTAAAGATTATGACTTGCAATATGCAACAGATGTGCCAGTACAGTAAAATCAGCTAGATATACAGTATGGAATATGGAGTTCAAATCTCTATATATGAGCATGTATAAATATGTACAAGAGTCTGTAAGGCTTATAGAAAACATATTTTCACTCCCTCTCCTCCCCAAAGTGCTTTGTGTAAAAATATTACACAAGATACTTTGCTTTCTGTACAAAATAAAAAGTTAAAACACACACACACAATTTTAAATGTGTGTTTTTTTGCTTTATCTGTTCCAAGAAAAAAACAAAACAAAAACAAAACTAGAAAAATTCAAACAACAAAAAGTGCTGTTTAAAAAATGCTGCTATAAAATTACACAACCAAAACTGGTAATGAACACAATTAAATGTAGGTTTATACAAAGTCATTCACAATGTTTCAAGAAAATCTGATAGTACAATATCATGTGACAGACAGCATTAACATTGCAACACTTCAGCAACTGGTATTAGTAAACTATGATGTCTTTATTTTTTGATACAAAATGCTATTTGAAACTACATTTTAATTCCAGTGTAGACCCCTTTCTCCTGTAGATATAAATACACCATTTGAATATGAGGACAAAGAATAATATAAAAAGAATTATTGCAAATTATTTAATTATAATATTGTTTAATGTTCATTTTCTAAAATAAAAACATCTTTTAGATTTAATCCCTTTAGAAAGTTAATATTTTCCAGCAATCTAAAACAATAACAAAATCTCGAGGCACATGTATTGCATGTAATTCAGTAACTTGCGTTAAGCTGTGTATGTTTTTACAAGCACCAGTTTTCCTTTGTGATGTGACAAACAATTCTCTATTTAAATATTCAAGAAAACAGTCACAGAAGAGTTTTTTTTTTGTTAAGTATCCAGCTGATGCAAGATGATCTCCTGAAGTTTATTGAGAATGATAATGAAATAATTGTGAAGTATCTCTCTTTCTCTCTTGATATATAAGTAAACATGGCGTATCCTTTTTGCAGAATGGTAGCTCATCTCTATGTGCTTCTGGAGGCAGTATTTTAACTATTTTGCTTTAAGATTAAGGCACTTTACAAGCTGTGCACGGTAAAAAAATGTGATTGACTTGCAAGAGTATTTTTTTCAAATTTATCTGACAAAAAGGAAAACTCTCACCATCCTTTTTTGTTTTGTCTTCTTTCTTCTACCACTTCTGCCATGTCTTTCTTTATAAGCCCCCCTCACTGGATAGTTTGTATGTTCAGAGATTAGAAAAAGTATTTCAGTAGCTTCAAAGGTCAAAGAGGTATATATCTGAACTCTGCAGTTATTTTTTCGCTTTTCATACACAATGAGTGACAGACAAATCATGGACAACCATGTCAAGGTTGCAATAAGGAGGAAAGCTTTTAACTGATTTGACTGTCCAGAGTCACAAGGGGCCCAATCTTGCTCCCATTGACTTCAGTGGTGTAAGATAGAGCCCTGTGAGCCTGAAATTGCAACTTTAAGCATGCCTACAACTCCTGCTGAAGCCAAAGTGAGTTACGTTTGTGCAATGACCATAGGAGTGGCCTTAATATAGGAGAAAATGAAATCTCCAGCAAAGGCTAAAACTCAGGGTTAATTTGTTGGGCCAGATCTTCAGCTGATGAAAATAGGCTGTATATCCAACTGTGCTGCACTATATATAGCTCAGTGCAGATGCTTTAAATGAGTGTGCAACATTATTTACCATAGCAAACAGGGCGATATGATGTCTAGGCACAATGATGTGAGTTAAGACAAAGGGCCAAATTCATCCCTGGTGTCAAAGTTCGAATACAATAAGGATTAATTTTACACAGAATTTCCAGATTTATGCCATACTCTTATTGTTACTTTTGTATAGTTTTTGTGTGTAAGTACTTAATTTTGTTTAAATGTTGTATACTTTTTATGGATAGAATAGAGGAAACTCTCCCAATTAAATGTATATGTCTAGATGTGATAGAATATAGAGCAGGGGTGGGCAAACTATGGCCCGTGGGCTGGATTCAGACCGCCAATGTTTTAATGCAGCCCTCGAGCTCCCGCTGGGGAGCGGTGTCTGGGGCTTGCCCCGCTCCGGCGCTCCAGCCGGGGAATAGGGTTGGGGGCCGCTCCATGCGACTCCCAGAAGCAGTGGCATACCCCCCCCCCGGCTCCTATGCACAGGGGCAGCCAGGGGGCTCCGCTCTGCACGCTGCTCCCCACCCCAAGCACCACCCCCACAGCTCCAATTGGAAGGATCCTCCTCCTGTCCTCTGAACCCCTCGGTCCGAGCCTGGAGCACCCTCCTGCACCCCAAACCCCTCATCCCCAGCCCCACCCCAGAACCCGCACTCCCAGCTGGAGCCTTCCCGCACCCCAACCTCCTGCCCCAGCCCTGATCCCCCTCCTGCCCTCTGAACCCCTTGGTCCCAGCCCAGAGCACCCTCCTACACCCCAGACTCCTCATCCCCAGCCCCACCCCAGAGCCCTCACCCCCCGCTCCCCGGCACCCAACCCTCCTGCCCCAGCCAGGAGCCCCCTCCCACATCCCAAACTCCTCATTTCTGGCCCCACCCCGAACCAGAGCCCACACCCCCTCCTGCACCCCAACCCCAATTTTGTGAGCATTCATGGCCCGCCATACAATTTCTATTCCCAGATGTGGTCCTCAGGCCAAAAAGTTTGCCCAGCCCTGATATAGAGAGTCCTCTGAGGCCTGGTGTTTTGCCAAATTCATCCCTGGTGCAACTCCAGCAAAGTCAGTGCAGTTAAATCAGGAATGAATTTACCTGACAGATCGTAACAGCATCTCATTATAAGCAGGTATTTGGACAATTTTTTTAAATGTATTTTTCTAAACTAATGAGTCCTTTGGAAAAGTTTTGGTCTATTCTGTGAATAATACGTCAACAAATTTCAGCATGCAAACTTGCTGGACTGCAAAAATTTCTTTGGATCTTAGTCCTGCATATCGTGTCAGGCCAAAGCATATATATATATATACACACATTAAGAAACCCCAAACGCTTTTATTCACAATATGGATGAATAATTTTAAAATAAAGTTTTAAATAAGTGATAAGAAAAGCTGCTTTCCAGGAGCACAGCAATGACAAAATCCACATCTCGACTGAGTAACTTCATTCCCCGCCTTGCCCATACACTTGTGGCTTTTAAGATGGCCAAACTGATTTTCTTTTAGCCTGGGTTAAAACTTGCAGGCCAGCCAAAGGTTAAAAAAAACACAACTTAACAACTCAGTTGTAGATCTCTGAATAACCTTGTACAAACATCAACAAACCCTTAAATATAGCATGCCTTATGGAAAAGGCCCATAGAATTACATAAGGATGAAGCCAATAGGAATCAATATAAATTTAATAGGGTTTCATACAAATTGCTTTAAAAAAGCTACAGAATTTAATGGAGAATGATATCTTTTCTACAGGTTATTTTTAACCTTCCTATAGCATTCTACATCAGGAATATAACTCTCTTTTAAATTGCATAGTATGGTTAAAAATTCTATTGAAAGTTTATCATTATTTATTAAATTCTCCATAGCAATGCTAATAAGGGCTGCTCAAATATAAAGGAAATCCTAGTGCCTTTTTAGTTAAACTCTTCTTATTCATTGTATAAAATGTTAAAATGGAAACAATATTGAAAAAGGTAGTAATAGCCATTCTGGAAGGTTTAAATTCTAGTGGAATGGAACAGGAAACCAAAACAAGGATTGCAGGAAATCCAGTACCAATGCTCTTTGGCTCCAAGAAGCCCCAACAATGCTTCTAGCTGGTGGTGCCATGATGCGTCTCAAATTGTTTTCCCTTTCTTGTCTTTGTGTGTATCTAGCTATGTAAGCACCACAGACAAATAGGTTGTGCAAGAAGGTGAGCCTTTTAAAATGTTTGTAGTGTTCTCTGGTTTTAGTTCTTAGATTCTCCCCCCCCAGCAAAAGTTCATTCTTAAATGATTTTGCCGATTCGGCTTAAAAAGATTACAGCCAGCAGCAGGTTTCTTATTCAGTATTTGAATTCCCTTTGAAAAAAAAAAAAAAAAAGTAGTGCTGCCATGCAGCAGATCAAAAGAAAAAGTAACAATTGCTAAAGTTTTGGCAAAGTTTTCTTGTTTTACCGACATTTCCCCTTTGACTGGCTGTTTTTGTGAGGTTGAGTGTCTGATGATTGCATTTCCTCCTCTTTCTGAAACATACATACAGCAGTCTTATGGAGGAATGATATTTGTAACATTTGTTCTTGACTATCAGAAAGGAAAGATGATATGCAATAGAGTATTGGTAATTATAATTAGATCATTTTAGCCTTCCGTATAGACAGAGGAAAGCTGGCTAGGACAACGATCCACTGCATTTATCTGAAGGAAACTGGCGTCCTCAGACCCATTGCGCAATGAATCACCAAAGATACCTGTTGACCCTGATGGAAGATCATAAACTGGAAAAGAGTACAGAAATCATTAATTAACACCTTCCAACTGTCTGTAATAGTTACACAGAAAAATAGCTGGAAATAGCTTTTAAAAAAAAATACATGGGTACTTAAAGGTTCAGATGAATTGCTTACTATGAGGGAAAACCTAGCCCCATTGAAATCAGTGGTAAAACTCCTATTGACTTCAATAGGACTAGGATGTCACCCACTGTGTATGTATAGACACACATTATATACATGCACACACAAATCAGATGCGCTCTGTGTGTGCGTGAATATATGGATGGACAGATCCTGCAGCTGCTCTACTGTGGAGTTTCCCATAACTGTGCAGTTTAGCTGAAGATCCTTTTATTTTGTCAATCTGCCTACTGCCCTTGGTTATGGGATTTCTACACACGCAATGTAAGATAAAAAAAACAGCAAACTATTGCAAGATTATTCTGCAGTGCAGAGGACCCTATCCTGCAAACACCAAATTTCAATGGGACTGTGTGCAGCACTAGATGTGTATTCAGGAGAATAACTGCAGAGCAGGGTCCTTATTTTGGATTTTTAAATGCTTGTGTAGATGGCTGCCATGAATCTTAAAACTGCCAGTTAGGTATATGATTGGGCTTTTAAGCACCTCACACCAGGATTTAGATGTGTAGCACATTTTAAGTGAAATTCACCCTGGTGCAGCGGGTGGCACATGGCCTATGTATCACTTATTAAGTCCCACTCAGGCCCTCAGGCGGTGTATCTACACTGCAATCAAACAACTGCGGCTGGCCCGTGTCAGCTGACTCAACCTTGCAGGACTTGGGCTGTGGGGCTATAAAATTGCAGTGTAGCTGAGCCAAAGCCCAGGCTCTGGGACCCTGTGAGTGGGGAGGGACCCAAAGCTCCAGCCCGAGCCTGGATGTCTATACTGCAACTTTATAGCCCTGTGAGCCCTAGTCAGCTGGCATGGGGCAGGTGCAGGTGTTTTATTGCAGTGTAGACATACCCAGGATAGATCATGGGCCTTGTGCGGGTACTCCACCCAGGTGTAAATTTGACCTTTTCAGGGTAGTATGCAAATTCTTATAGGGAGCTGAGAGTGAACGAGCAAATTAAATCTTGATAGAATTGGTGTGTGCACCACGGGCTATTGTTGTCATGCACATCTAGATAAATGAATTTCTTGACTAAGAAAATTATCTTGGGCAAAAAGGTATAAAGCAAAACCAATGGCTTGATTAGATGCTACAATGCTTCTAGGAGACTGCAGGAGTAGAAAGACTTCAGAAGGCTCAGAGGACAGTATTTCAAAGTGAATACATGAGCTAGTGCATGTCTGACCCTGTACAGGAATTCAGAAGCTAGAGAAACATACATACAGCCAACACACAGTCTGTATGCATGCCAGATGTTATAGAGATATGCCCAAACCAGATCTCCATAGCTAACCCCCACAAAGTTCCTATACACATCGGAACTTTGGGGTGGGGGGATCAAGCCCATCATCTCTAGTTGTAACTGAGAAGTCAGCAAAGCCTGGTTACATTTACAACTGGAATGTAGGTGTACAGGTATTTCTAGTTCACAACAGTCACTTACCTGTAATACCAGAATGTGCTGAAAAAGCTCTGTGGAAAACATCAAACCCCGCCTGGCCCATCGATGTGGGAACTAGACAGTCTTCAAAAGGAGGGACCATATTACAAGAGCCGCCATGTTGTATGCTCCTCTGAGCGTCAGTGTAATGTGGAGGGCAGAAAGTCTGTAGTTGCCCATAAAAGCCTAAAACAAAGAGAGGAGAGAAGACATTAAGATACCTTGATATTTTGTCTGGTTGGCTCAGATAGAGTGACAAAGAACAATAGCAATGACAAGCACAGTGGGTGAAATCCTGCCCACACTGAGGCCAATGGCAAAACTCCCATTTATTGCAATTGTTTTTCTGCCTTAATATCCGATTCACTATAACGTTCTCTGCAGTAATGCTTCCTCCATTAGATTTTGTCCCCACTGGCTCCTAACTACTTTAAATCCATCTTTGAACCATCCTGGTTCTACCACCACCTTTGTGGAGGCAGCAATTGATCAGGAGTCATTATAGGGAGACTGATGTTTTCATGAAAACACTTCCTTTCTTCTACAGTCCTGTTCAAAGATCTGACATCCTGCAAACGTCACTTAGCTTCAAGTTCAGGAAAAACTCTCATTAAAGATAAGGAAAGATTTGCCTGAATAAGGACTGCATAAAGCCATAGGATTTGTCCCTGGGTTTAAGGTGGCAGATTAAATCCTATCCAAGTGCTTGAAATTGACTCTAAGGCTGTTGAAGATGGTGGAGACTGATGTACGAGGCTCTGAATGATTGGGCTGCACTCACAACGTATACACACTCTCCCTTAGCTATTCCTGCATGTAGACAGGGTGCAAACCACCAAGGGCTTTATAGTTTAAATCCAGTATCTTTAAACTTCACCCAGAAAGTGTGCATGACTATCCCCTTGCCCATTAAAAGACGAGTCCAGGAGCAATACAACCTCAGAAGATTTTGTAAGCAAACAATCCATTGTCTAGGGGCTGGTGTGCCATTTCTCATGCTGAAGAATATGTAACAGTAAGTTATACCAAAAAGCCACTGCAAGGAAAAATCACCTCATCTCAAAAAGCAACTTAAGAAATTTTCTGTATCTCAAGTTTCTTCCACAGAAGTTGCTATCAACAGAAATGCTGATGTGTTAGGCTGACTCTTCTAACTAGTACAGTTAACTAACTGTCATATGACACAGCCCTCCTAGAGTAATTTTCTTTTAACTTCTTAAAGTAAATTTTTTTCCCCCTAACAGCACTAAAATCAGAAAAAGCCCATCTCTGGACATATCTGCAGTAAAAAAGTGATCGCTGCAGATTTGGGGCTATGAATCAAATTTGGATGAAAAATCTCTTCTCAAGCTGGAAGAAAAAAAAATCAGTAGCAAACTGGTTAATTGTAGTTTGGATGAGATGTAAAGTTAATGGAGATATCCTATCTCCTAGAACTGGAAGGGACCTTGAAAGGTCATCAAGTCCAGCCCCCTGCCTTCACTAGCAGGACCAAGTACTGATTTTGCCCCAGATCCCTAGGTGGCCCCCTCAAGGATTGAACTCACAACCCTGGGTTTAGCAGGCCAATGCTCAAACCACTGAGCTATCCCTCCCCCCATGAGCTATCCCTCCCCCCGTGAAGACAACTTTGCCAATTTGTGGTCATTAAAGATCCCAGCAGCTTTTCCTTATAATAGCAAAAAGTATTATAAGGAGGTGTTAAACCTAGCGTGATGGACAAATCTTAGTTTGGGTACTTACCAGGGACAGGCAAGTCAAATACATTAGCCCAGTAGTGCAAGCTTTAGTGCTGTTAAGCAGCCTAATATTGCACAAATATAATTCAGACAACGTCATAGTCTCAGTCATAGCCAAACCAAATAATTATAAATGCGTATTCATGATAACAGAGAATATTCAGCATCCATCTCTGGCCTCTGCTGATGTTAAGGGACTATAGCAGACTCTGATTTTCCTGGAAGTTAGCTAGTCCTGGCAGGTCTATGGATTGTCTATCCCCTAAAGAGTAGACATCTTGGTGATTTGAGTGGTTAAGAGAAGATGCAGGGCCTGTTGCTGACCCCTAAATAACTAAGAAATGAATAGCCAGCTACCTGATGACATGGAAGAAGGTAGAAGACCACCTAAAGACAGTTGAAAGTAAAGGGAGTAGCCCTTTATGGGATGGCATTGTCTCATGCAGGGTTGTATGGCTGATGTTCATTCTCATGATATTTATATTTGGGAGGAATGTGTCTAAATATCATTAAATTATAAGTCACTTGAATATGAATATCAGCCTATTTGTCCATCACTAATGATTAAAGAGTGCCCAACCTGATTCATCCAGCACTGACTTATTTATAAAGAATCATTTAAAAAAATTTCTAAAACTGCAGAGACTATTGAAAAATAAAACCCTTCCGACCTAGGATTGCTTTACAGGAGGGATCTTTGCACTTTGATAGCACCCTGCATGCAAGAGCTCAAAGAACTCTGCAAAACTGTTGTAGTCTAACTACGATCCAAAAATATTTTCATTACCTTTCCTAGGAAAATGTCTATAAAGGACATGTGCTAAGTGTTTATGCACGGATAATGTATTTCATAAATATTAGTGGGTAAAGCAGCAGAGAGGATACACTGGAAAACATGCTGTATCACTTTGTGTGGTACAATTGATTTCCTGCCAAGCTGGAGAAAAGATGTGCAATTTAGGAACTTTATGATTCTAATTATTTTTCCTTTGAGACTACAATCCTGTGGGCTCATTGAGGAAATATACCGATCTTGGCATGTGTCGCGTGTACATGTTTCAAAATGGAAAATTTAATACTTAAGTGGATATATATGGGCCAACATTAAGGATGGAGAAAGCAGTCTGAACCTTCACTTAGAATTCAGAAAAGGACCTATTTGTCAGTTTGTAAAAGCAGAGAGGAGTTTGATAAGAAACTTAGGTTCGCACACATTGAGATAACCAACCAATCTGTGTGCATGCATATACACACACACGCAATTTTGTCCATGTAAAAGGTTACATGGTAAAAAAGACAGCAAAAAAAGTTTTTTAAGTTGCTTTAAAAGTTTTGCTCTCAGATTATTTTCTTTGAGAGGGGAAGGGACATTGGTTTACCCTGAAAGAAGCAGAAAAACAATGCACAACAAATCTGACCTTTCCCTTAAAGCAGACAGCAAATGTGTGCTATAGGCATTGCTAATATACTGTGGGCTCCATCCCAAGAGAGGCTGAACACTCAACTCCCACTGCTTTTAGTAGGACTTGTGGGTTCTTAGCAACTCTTAGGACTGGGCTCAGTGTTTTGAATACTTTTGTATTAAAAAGTTTAATTGGAACAGAAATGAGCCAGCTTCCAAAGCATGTTAGCTATTTACAATAGATCTCCCCACTGCTCAGTGCTGACATTTAAGAAAAAAACTAGTAAAATAAAAAAGGAAAAACAATACTTTCTAAAACTCGATTTAGACCATTACTATTGACAAACTTAAAAAGTGCTCTTAAAAACAACTGCTGTCTCAACCAGCATTGGGCTACATTGTGAAAGTTTACTGTTGAGTCAGACCAGTTACCAGAAACACAATCATTTCAATCTACAGTAGTCAGAGCCAGCTGGCAAGGCCCAGTAAGACACATGCTGAAAATGTTCTTTCATTGCTCTGAACTCATTCTTTATTTGTGCCTTTTCACAGCATCCTATTCTTAATGCAGAACAGTCTGGCAATAACATTGACTATTGCAAATTGTAGCCTGGTGCAATCACTAACTGAGCCCCAAAGTAAGCATAACGAGCCAAGTCCTCTTGTCCCTCCTCACTCACTGTGAGGCAAAAGAATTTTGTCTGAGTAAGCATTGTACATTTTGGCCCAATGTAAAGAGAACTGCTGTTTTGTGCAGACATAACGGAGAAAAAAATAGAGAAAGCACACAAAGCATTTAATTAATTAACAAATTCATCAATCATTTTTAAGCTGGAGAGAAAAATGCTGTATTCTTGGAATGCCTGTAGATAATAAACACTGTAATGTTAAAAAAGACCTAATGAAATCTTCAAGTATTCAAATGTATGTATTTATATGAACACTTTATGTCACCAGCTTACACTCAGCTATTTTAGACCCAACCCAGCTTCATGGAAATCAGTGGGTATACATCAGGGTTGAACTTGTCCAAACTGGTTTAGGTTAAAAAAAGAAAAATCGTGTTATTACAGATAGGAGATATATTGTGGGAGAATAGCAAAGTGAAAAATGACAGCAACATTTTTGTTTGTTTTAGCAAATGTAGTACTAGTAAGAAAAAAAAAGTGCTAGATGGACACAACCTTGCAGATTGTATGTCCAGCAGCAATATACCTCAGACAAGAAGGCAATTCAATCCCTTGCCATTCTTGGCCTCACAGCTGGGACTGCCCACAAGGGAGCTAAACTGTGGTAGTGGTTTCTGTGCTCTGATGCAACATCTTTAACAGAACGTCTAAGAGACTGGTTTAATGAAGTTCCAGTAGCAGAATCACTCTTTAGGTCTATGGTTGTAGACTCTATTATTTGCACTGTAACAAAATTATTATACGCCTCAGTTTAGTGAGGGATACTGGGGATGAGGCATCAGACTGGAAGAAACCAGTTGGACTTTCCAAATCCAGCTGGAGTTTGAAGGATTGACAGTTAGGAAAAACATCTTTTTATACACTGAGCAAGTTAATGTGTAAGTCACTGAAGAACAGTAAGCACAGAATCCACTATGCCTTTTTTATAACTAAACAGAATAAGAGTAGTAGTGCAATTTAAGTTGGAGTCTGGAGCTAACAACTAATAGTTTATTTTTATTTCTAGCCATTCCTCCAAGTTCTCACGACAAGCTGATAAAACAGCAAGCACAGAAATAAATAAGACTCATCTTAAAATAATTGTGTCTGATCTACATAAAAATGAACATCTAATTCATATCCTATCACAGCACACAAAGGAACCATGTACTGTAAGCGCTGATTAATAATGGACCCAAAGCATTACCTTTGGCGATACCAGGGAAAGCTGAAGAGACAGCTGATTTACTGCTCCCAGTAGACACTCAAGAATGTAATAAAATACATATGATAAGATAAAAAGCAAATGCAATTCCTGTCAAACCATTGTAACATTCCAAATGTTTACAGCAAAAGTTCATACTGTGGCACTGTGCC